ATCCCAAACATTAATGTCCCTAATAACAGAACTTCAAAATATGAAGTAAACACTGATAGAATTGCAAGAAGAAACAGACCAATCTACAATTATATTCATAGATTTCAACATACCACTTTGATTTTATTTTATTTAAAGATTTTATTCCTTTATATGATATATATTTAGAGAGAGCACAAACGGGGAGCAGCAGGTAGGGGGAGAGGGAGAAGCATGCTCTTTGCTGAGCTGGGAGCCTGACCGTGGGGTTCCACCCAAGGACCCTGGGATCATGACCCGAGCCAAAGGGAGATGCTTAACCAACGGAGCCATCCAGACGCCCCTCAACGTACTTCTTTTAAAAATGATAGAACAAATAGAAAAAAAAATCAGTAAAGATATAGAATACTTGAATATCACTATCAATCCACTTGACCTAATTGACATTTACAGAGCATTTCATCTAACAGCAAAAACACACTCTTCTCAATTGCACATGGAACATTTACCAAGATAAATCATATTTTTGGCCCATAAAACAAGTCCCCCCAAAAGATTTAAGTCATACAAATCATGTTCTCTGGTCACAATGCATAAAATTAGAAATCGATAACAGAAAGTTACTTAAGAAATTCACAAATGTTTGAAAACTAAATAATACATTTATAATCCATGAGGCAAAGAAGAAATCAAAGGGGAAATCAGAAAATTCCTTTAACTGAATTATAATGAAAATCCAACATATCAGAATGTGTGGGATGCAGCAGCTAAAGCAGTGCTTGGAGAGAAATTTATAGCAATAAATGCCTATTTTAGAAAAGAAGAAGGTCTCAAATCAATTACTTCAGCTTCCACTTGAGAAACTAGGGAAAACAAGCAAATGAAACTCAAAGTAAGCAGAGTAAAGGAAATAATAAAGATCAATGAAATAGAACACCAAAAATCAGTAGAGAAAAACCAATGAAACCAAAAAGTGCTTCTTTGCAAAGACCAATTAAACTAATAAACTTACAGCCAGACTAATTAGGGAAAAAAAGAGAGAGAGAGAAGACACAAGTTACCAATCTCAGGAATAAGAGAGTTAGCATTATTACTACATTCTGTTGATGGTAAAAGAATAATATGGGAATATTATGATCAACTTTATGCCCATCAATTCAACAACTTAGATGAAATTGAAATTCCTTTTTTAAAAATTTTTTTAAAAAGATTTTTAAAATTTATTTATTCATAAGAGACACAGAGAAAGACAGAGCCTAGAGGCAGAGACATAGGCAGAGGGAGAAGCAGGCTCCACGCAGGGAACCCGACGTGGGACTCGATCCCTAGTCTCCAGGATCTGTGCTGAAGGCGGCTGTAAACCACTGAGCCACCCAGGCTGCCTGAAATAGAAATTTCTTGAAAGAAACGACTACCAAAGTTTATTCAAGAAAAAAAAAACTTAAAAATCAGAATAGCCCTACAACTATTAAAGAAATTACATTTATGCTTAAAAATTTTTTCCTTTTCCTGGGATGGAGCTCCACATTGGGCTCCCTACTCAGTAGGGAGTCTGCTTCTCTGTCTCCCTTGGTGTTCTCACACACACACACACACACTCTCTCTCAAATAAATAAACAAATTAAAAAACAAAAAACAACAAAACAACAAAACCTTTCCCTTGGGGTGCCTGGCTAGCTCAGTCAATAGAGCATGCAACTCTTGATCTTGGGGTCATGAGTTCAAGCCCCATATTGGGTATGGAGCCTACTTTTAAAAAATAAATAAAAAAAATAAAAACCTTCCCTCAAAGAAAACTCCAGGCCCAGGTAATCACACTGGGCAATTCCGCCAAACATTTAAGGAAGAAATAATTAATATGAACTCTATACAAACTCTTCCAGAAACTTGAGGAAGAGAGAATACTTCCTAACTCTTTTTGTGAGGTCAGCATTACTCTGATACCAGAGCCAGACAAGTCATTACAAGAAAACTACAGACCTACAGACCAATAAACCTCGTGAACATAGATGTAATAATTTAAAAAAATATGTTATTTATTCATGAGAGACACAGAGAGGCAAAGACATAGGCAGTGAGAAAAGCAGGCCTCCTGTGGGGAACCTGATGAGGGACTTGATCCTGGGACTCCAGGATCATGTCCTGAACTGAAGGCAGACACTCAACCACTGAGCCACCCAGGCATCCCCATAGATGTAATAATTCTTAACAAAGTAAGTAAAATCTAACAATATACGAAAAGGATAATACTCTGTGATCTATACATTATTCTAGGTTGGTTTAATATGTGAAAATAGATGGGTGTAATTCACTATATTAACAGACTAAAAACAAAAGCCATATGCAAAAAAAAGGGTCGCAAAGTTCAATTCCTGATAAAACTCTCAGGAGAGTAAGAATAGACAAGACCTTCTCAACACAATAAAGGGCATCTAGGAAAAATCTATAGCTGACATCATATCAAATGAAAAATTGAATGTTTTCCTCCTAAGATGAGGAACAAAACAGAGATATTTGCTTTTACAACTTCTATTCAAAAAGTACTAGAGGTCCTAACCAGTGCAACAAGGCAAGAAAAAGGAACAAAAAGCATTCAGATTGCAAATGAAGAAACAAAACTGTGTTTATTTGCAGATGACACGATTGTCTTTGTAGAAAATCTAATGGAATCTACAAAAAATCTACTATAGCTAATAAGTGAATTTAGCAAAATTGCAGCACATAAAATTAATTTACAAAAATTAATTGTACTTCTATGTACTACTGAGGAACAATCAGAAATTGAAATTTAAAAATATTATTCAGGAGCATCAAAAGTGCAAAATATTTAGCAGTAAATCTCAGAAAGGTGAACAAGACTTGTATTCTCAAAACTACAAAATATTGTTGAGATGAATTAAAGAGAACTGAAATAAATGGAGCAATATACTCTATGTTGTTGTTATCATGTCAGTTCTCCCCAAACTAATCTATGTATTGAAAGCAATCTTGATTAAAATCTCAGGGGGCTTTTTTTTGCATGATTTGATAGGTCAATTCTAAAATTCATATGGAAATGCAAAGGGCCTGAAATAGCAAAATCAATACAGGGAAAGAAAAAAGAGCAAAATCAGAAGGCTTACGCTATCTGACTTCAAGATATATTATAAAGCTAGAGCAATCAAGACAGTGTGGTTTTAGTGTCAAGATAGATCAATGAAACAGAATAGAGAATCCAGAAATAGACCCTCAACATAGCTGAATAATTGATTTTCAACAAGGGTACAAAGGTAATCAGATAGTGCAGGAACAACTAGATATCCATGTGAAAGAAACCATTAGGTATGACTACAAAAACATGATCCATAGAAGAAGAGAAAATAATAAATCAGACTTCATAAAAATCAAGAATTTCTGCTCTTTGAAAGACACTAATTAAAAGAACAAAAAGATCTGCACAGACCGGGAGAAAATATTTACAAATCACGTATCTGATAAAAGACTGTATTTAGAATATACACATGCCTCTCAAAGCTCAACAATAAGAAAACAAACGACCCGACTTTAAAAATAGGTAAAGGACTTGAACATACACTTCACCCAAGTAGATTTACTGATTACAATAAGCTCAGAAAAAGATGCTAAATACTTAGTCATTAGGGAAAATGCCAATCAAAACCCCAGTAAGATACTTTTAGCCATTCTACTCACCAGTTAGACAAAAGATAAAAAAAAAAAAAAAAAAAGACAAAAGATCATAGGTAATGTTGCCAAAGACGTGGAGTAACTGAAACTCTCATATGCTGCTAGTAGGACTATAAAATGGCACAATCACTTTGGAAAGTAGGTTGGCTCTTTCTTAATAAGTTAAATATACACCTATAATTGGACTTAGTCATTCTATTCCTAGATATTTATACCCAAGACAAATAAAAGCATATGCACACAAAGCATATTCATGCAAAAACTTGCACACAAACACTATCAGCTTTATTTTTAATAGGCAAATCCGGAAATAACCTGAATGTCATCAACAAGTGACTGGATACACACGCTGCGTATATTCCTATAATGAACGCTACTCAGCAATAAAAAAAAATTAGGTATTGATAGGCAACTGTGGCATCAACAGCAGGATAATCTCAAGACAGTTGTGTGAGAGGAAGGAGCCCATACCAAAAAAAAAAAAAAAAAAAAAAGAAAGAAAAAGAAAAAGAAAGAAAAAGAGAGGTACATACTGTATGGTTCCATGTATTTAAAATTCTGAAAAATGCAAACTAATGTACAGTAATAGAAAGCAGATTAGTGGTTGCCTGGAGAGAGAGAGAGTGTGGGAGAGTGACACATGGAAGCATTACAAAGAGGCAGGGGAACCTTTTGGAGGTGACGGGTATGTTGGAGGTGACGGGTAGGTAGATGGTGGTGATACTTTCCTGCGTGTACACACACATCAAAATTCTGCACTCTACACTTGCATGGCTTATCGCATGTCACATACATCTCGGTAAAGATACTTAAAAACGTATGCATTGGCCCACTACGTGATGGGCACACTGCGTGCCAGGTGAGATGCCCTCTCTCCAAGCCTCACCACGAGCCGCCCAGGTTGGTACCGCGGTCGCTCGCTCTTACTGACAGCGTCTGCAAGTCTTTTCCTGCGGTGTAGACAGGCTGATCGGGTTCCAAAGCCACGCGGCCGGTGAGCGGCAGCCTGGCCACTGAACCTGCGGTGGGAAGACACCTGTAGGAGGGGGGCCCCCTGACCTGAGGGGCGCTCTCACTGTCACCGTCCGCCTCCTCCTAGGAGCGTGGAGTAAGCGGTTCAGATGTTCGCGCCTACCGAGGTCCGAAAGGATGGAGGTGCCCTTACGCAGCGGCCCACCTGGGGGCCGTCGGGGATGCGGTGTGACCCTCCTCCCGCCACCCGGGCCGCGTGCGCCGAATCCCAACGCTCCAGCCGCTGCTGATAGACTGCTGCGGGGTTTGTGTGTGTGTGTGTGTGTGTGTTTGGTTTGTTTTTCAGCCGCCCCAAGATCCTGTAGATGGAGTTGCCTGTGCTTAGGGGTGTCGGCTCTCCGACAGCGGAGCCTGGCCGGACTGCGGGGCGTCGCCCTTGCGGCCGCCGCTCCGGAGACAGGGGAGACTCGCGGCCTCCACCAGGGTCACGCCGCACCTTCGGGCTCCAGCTCCCCCGCCGTCCCGCGGCCGCTCAGCCGGTGCGCGCCCCCCGCGCCCGCCCCCCGGCCTCCCCCCTGCACGCGGCTCCGCGGGGGCGTCGGGCCCGCACTTTCAAGCTCCTCTCCCCATGCACGTGTCCCGCCGCGGACCCGAGGCCGCCCAGCCCCGTGCGCCCCTCCGCGACCCCCCCCGGCCTCACCCCTGCGCGCGGCTCCGCGGGGGCGTCGGGGAGGCGGGCCCACGCTTTCGAGCTCCTCCCCCGGTGCAGGTGTCCCGCCGCGGACCCGAGGCCGCCCAGCCCCGTGCGCCCCCAACTCCGCGCCCCCCCCCCGGCCTCCCCCCTGCACGCGGCTCCGCGGGGGTTGTCGGGGAGGCGGGCCGGCACCTTCGGGCTCCAGGTCCTGGTGCTGGCAGGTGTCCCGCCGCGGACCCGAGACCGTCCAGCCCGGTGCGCCCCTCCGCGACCCCCCCCCCCGGCCTCACCCCTGCACGCGGCTCCGCGGGGGCGTCGGGCCCGCACTTTCAAGCTCCTCTCCCCATGCACGTGTCCCGCCGCGGACCCGAGGCCGCCCAGCCCCGTGCGCCCCTCCGCGCCCCCCCCCGGCCTCACCCCTGCGCGCGGCTCCGCGGGGGCGTCGGGGAGGCGGGCCGGCACCTTCGGGCTCCAGGTCCTGGTGCTGGCAGGTGTCCCGCCGCGGACCCGAGACCGTCCAGCCCGGTGCGCCCCTCCGCGACCCCCCCCCCGGCCTCACCCCTGCGCGCGGCTCCGCGGGGGCGTCGGGGAGGCGGGCCCACGCTTTCGAGCTCCTCCCCCGGTGCAGGTGTCCCGCCGCGGACCCGAGGCCGCCCAGCCCCGTGCGCCCCCAACTCCGCGCCCCACCCCCGGCCTCCCCCCTGCACGCGGCTCCGCGGGGGTTGTCGGGGAGGCGGGCCGGCACCTTCGGGCTCCAGGTCCTGGTGCTGGCAGGTGTCCCGCCGCGGACCCGAGACCGTCCAGCCCGGTGCGCCCCTCCGCGACCCCCCCACCCCCCCGGCCTCACTCCTGCGCGCGGCTCCGCGGGGGCGTCGGGGAGGCGGGCCCACGCTTTCGAGCTCCTCCCCTGGTGCAGGTGTCCCGCCGCGGACCCGAGGCCGCCCAGCCCCGTGCGCCCCCAACTCCGCGCCCCACCCCCGGCCTCCCCCCTGCACGCGGCTCCGCGGGGGCGTCGGGGAGGCGGGCCGGCACCTTCGGGCTCCTCTCCCCCGTGCAGGTGTCCCGCCGCCGACCCGAGCCGCCCAGCCCCGTGCGCGCCCCTCGCGCCTCCCCGCACCCCCCTCTCCCCTCCGCGCTGCTCCGCGGGGGCGCCGGGGAGGCGGGCCGGCACCTTCGGGCTCCTCCCCCCGGTGCTGGCGGGTGTCCCGCCGCCGACCCGAGCCGCCCAGCCCGGCGCGCCCCCCCCGCCCTGCACGCGGCTCCGCGGGGGCGTCGGGGAGGCGGGCCCGGGGACGCTCGGAGGCGCTCGGGCGCGGCGCCCCCTGCCGGCGCCCTGCTGCCTCGCCCCGGATCCGGTCCGGGCGGCGCGGGGACTCCGGCCCGGGAGCCAGCGAGCGCGGGCGGGCAGGCGGGCAGGCGGGCAGGCGGGCGGCGCGGCGCGCTGCGGGCGAGCGGGCGAGCGGGCGCGTCCTGCAGGGGTAGGTGGGCCGCGGGCGCGGGCGCGGGCGCGGGCGGGCGGGGGCGGGGGGCGCGGGGCGCGGGCGCGCGGCGGGGGTCGGCGCGGGGGCGGGGCGGGGCGGGGGCGCGCGGCGGCGGGGGCGCGCGGCGGGGCTCGTGCCGGGGCGGCGGGCGCGGGGGGCGGGCGGGGAGCCTCAAGATGGCGCCCACCGCAGTCCCGCCCGCCGCAGCCCCGGCGCCTCTGCAGTCCGGCCGCGCCTCCCGGGCCCCGCGCTAGGGCCGCCGCCGCCGCCGCCGCCGCCCTCGCCGCCGCCGCCGTAAGTCGCCCGGGGCCGGCCTCCCCGCGCCGCCTCGCCCATCCCGCGCCGGGGGCTCTGCCGCAGGGCGCGCGGCGGGCTCGGGGCCGGGGCCGGGGCCGGGGCCGGGGTCGGGGCCGGGGCCGGGTCGGGGCCGCCGCTGGCGGACGGCTGTTTGCGAGGCTCGCACCCTCGGCCGTGCGTACCGGGTCCCCGCGGGGAGGTCGCGCCCGGGCCGCTCGGGGGGCGCTGGCCTCCCGCGGCGCCCCTGCGGCGGTGCAGCCCCCGGAGGCCGGACGGTCGGGGCCCCCGGAGGGCTCCCCGGGGAGGGCCTCGCTGTCGGGTCGGGGCCGCCCTGCCCCTCCCCCGCCCCTGCCGCAGCCTCTCCCCCCCCCCCCCCCCCGGGCTCCGGGTCGTTACCGGCCGCAGCAGCCCGGGGCTCCGGGGTCCCCAGGGCGGCCGGGACTCCCCCTGCCCTTTCCTGGGGTGCGTCCGTCCCTGCCTGGCTGGGCGCTCTGGGGCGGTGCGGGGGGCCCCCGGGACCTTCCTGGGCAGGCCAGGATTCCTGCATTGGGGAGCGCATCACTTTCAGAATCCCCCCTTCCCCCACCCCCATCCCTACGCCACCCGATGCGGAGCTCGTCGCTCTCCTCCTCCCTCCCCTCCCCCCCCCCCCCCCCCGCCAGCAGCGCCCCGGGCTCCCTAGCGCTCGGCTTGCAGGACTCCCAGCTGCCGAGACCTAGACCCCTCCTCTCTAGTTCCCACTTGGTCCCTGGGGGGCCGCAGAGCCTCTGCATTTTTGCTTAGAGCTCAGCTCCGTCCCTGCGGCTACCACCGGTGGAGACTTGGCTGTTAACTTTCCGCGGGGGGGGGGGGGGGTTAGCCGGGGCCTTGAGACCCCTGCGGAGGCCTCGGCTTAGAGGTCGGGTGTTGGGGGGTGGGGGGAGTGCGAATCATTTTTTGCAGCCTGACAAATAGGATTCTTCGAGCCATGCATTCCTTCCAACTACTCCACCCTGTGCCTGTGCCCTCTTCCTCACTTACACTGCAGTTTTTGAAACACGGCGGTGGGGGGGGGGGAGGAGATGCATTTTTATATCGGGAGATTCCAAGATTCTGGGCCTCAGGGTTCAGGATTAAAGGATGTCATCTGTTTGGGGCGAGGGGGGAGAAAGTTGGCGCTGCATCTGGCTAATTCAGGGAGGGGGAGAAATCATTAGCATGGAGCCAGCTCTGCCGCCCGAGGAAAATTCTTTTTAGTGCCCGGCGGGCACCGGAGAAGCAGGAATGGAAGCAGGAAATGTGGGTGAGGGCTTTGGGAGCAAAGGGGGGAATAGTGCTTTTTATGACTATTTTCTCAAGTTTGAACCTGGAGAGCCTTCAGAGAGCTATGGATGGTGTTAGGGCTGGGGGATGTTTTAGCTTTGCGAAGGAGATTTCGGGTGTGGTAGGCTTTCGCTGTTTCACCATCTCTCTGTACCTCTCTTTTCTCCACGTGCATTAGAAGATAATGCGGGGTGAGGGGACTTTTTTTTTCTTTCCTCTCCCCCCCCCCCAATTTTTTTTTTTTTGATGTGTAATGCAAATGGCTGGAGAACATTAGCATCCGGTACCATTCTGGTAGGAATCTCAGGGGAATCAGACTTAAACTGCTGGAAGCTCTGTAGCACGTTGCCTGTAACCTGGTTCTTGAAATACTGCAGCATTTTTTCTTTGGAACTCATGACCCATAAGGCCTTCAATTCTCCCTGAAAGAGAATTTGATTGCTTGGGAAGGGGGTGGTGGTGGTGGAGTGGTGGTGTGGCAGTGATGGTTTGGTATTCAGCAAGCATCATCTGTCCTAGAAATTGAGTCTCTCCCTGGAGAGGGCTCGGAGCATGTTCTATGTTTTCAACATCTGATTTAGGGTATGTGTAAATGTGTTGTGTTTCTTAGTAGGGCTGGTGGTGGAGATTGCAAAGCAGTTCTTGATAGTGCAGGCCAATTATTGGTTTCTTGGGTTCAGTTTGAGAGGCTGACTTAATATACCTTTGGTTTTCATTTGGGATTTTGTTAACTTTTATCAGGGTACTTACAGGATTTTATTTTAGATTAATCCTTTAAATTAAAGGGTTATGAAATGGAATATAGCATACTTAAAAAACAAACACCCATACAGTGCTTGTTTATTTCTTTGTAGGAGCTTTAACAGATTTTTCTCATGGCCCAGCTTTGGGTGCCTGTGTTTAGGCTTACACCAGGGTTTCTTGCTGTGGTGCTAAAAGGACAGTTCCCTGGTTTCTTGCTGTGGTGCTTAAAAGGACAGTTCCCGGACCAGCCCTGCCATGAAGTGCGCACATGCTGGACATAATTTGGATTTTTCTTTGCTTTTGTTATCAGCTGGCTTTCTTGTAGATGTGTGTGCATGCGCAGCTGGGCTTATTCTTGAGGTTGCAGGCCTAGTTATCATATTTTATTACTCCCACATAACTCTTCATTTTGGCTGTCCCTCATGGAGACAGTGTTTTGCAGGCTGCAACAGATCCATATGTAAGACATACAGTGACATTTTGCTGACAACATTATTCCAGCACATTTTTGTAATTTCAAGTAGCAAGGATCTGTTAATAATTATGGGAATTTGGTCTCCACAAGAATTAATCAGGTAGCCTGCTAAGTCAGGCTGGATCAGAAGGGAATCTTCTCTGGGTTGATTTGAATGGTGAACTGAGAAAAGGACGTGACACAACAGAGGACAGCATGCAACCATTGTATCGCTGGAGTGGACTTGTCAAAAAATTTATTTTAAAATCCTAGAAAGGGGTGGTAGCCATAAAATTCAGCTGTACAACCTCCCAGCACAGGAATCCCCTTATGGGAGATCTTTGCTTTGAATACTTCCGTTAGTAGGGAACTGCCTACTACATAAAGTAGCTCATTCCATTTGAGTTCCACTGTGATTAAAGTACTTTAATGGCTTTGAAAAGATAACACACGTAAAGTTAAAAGACTATAGATTGGGGCTATATCAAGGCCAGATGTTATTCTAGTGCTCATTTTCAAAAAAGATTAATAATCGATATTCTGTAGAGATTGTACAAGAAATTTCCATCCGCTTGAAAAGAATGCAGAGATAGAGACATATCCACCTAGAGCAAGAACAACATTCCATGAATGGAGAGAAGAATAATTATCTTTAATATGCTGATGTTATGTAACAAGTTCTGGAGGCATAGGCATGAATTAATGAATATACAATTCCTATTGATTATATCTGAGAAAGAAAATAACCCCACACTATATAGAAAGTGTTAAAAATGCAAAGTTTATCCAGAGTGAGTTCAGTTTCCATAATTATGAAAATAACACATGCCTGTTACAGGAAAAATTTTAATATATGTAAAAAAAGCAGGAAAAGTCAGTCTTAACTATCCTAAGCAAAACAGTTGTCTATGTTTTATTGTATATTTTCAGTGGTTTTTTTTTTTCTCTTTAGAGAGGGCAAGAAGCCCTTGCAAAAGTTATTCAGAATAACAGTATTTTTTGATTTTTCAAAACATTATCTTTAATGAGAGATAATTCATTCTTGGAATTGGACTCCTGTAAAGTCTCTCGATTGAAATATAGCAAGATAACTAGAGGAATAAAGAAATCTTTGATTAATCAGCGAATCAACAGATATTCTCCCTCTGTACCTACTATGTGTGAGGCATAGTACTAGGCACTAATGCTCTTTAAGTGGCAAGAACCAGCTTAGAAAATGAAACCATGCTCCAAAACTATGGCTGTTAAAGTGCACAAGGAAGATAACAGAACTTTCACGCTCTAGGCATATATTAATTAGCGAAATGTAGTATGGCAGACTGTGGGGTCTAGCCTGGTAATTCAACCTAAGACAGAATAGTTTGTACAGGAATAGGAAGTAAATGTGGGAAAAGAAGTCTTCTGGGAAAATTTCCTCTATCCCTTTGTGAGCCTATAGAGACACAACCAGGACACACAGGTACCGTGTCAGGAATGAGGGTGAAATGAAGACACAAGAAAGTTACTGTAGTTAACACCACTGAGAAGAAAAAGAAGCAATATGGGCTTTGGAGTTAGGCAAAACTAAATTCAAGTCTTGACTCTGCTACTTATTAGCTTTGTGGCTTTGGGCAAGTTATTTAATCTATTTGAGCTTCAGTGCTCTCATCTGTAAAAATTGGAATAATAATATCTCCGTCGCAGGGTGTTTTTAGGGATTAAATGAAATCTCTGTTACCTTGTGGTTTCTGACACATAGAGCTCAATATATATTTACTCCTTTCCCTCTAGAGATTTAGCAGCTTAGTGTGTGTTTATACGTGTATTTGATATAGTATATATGTACTGTATTAGATTTTAGTAGTCTGAAAAGCAGACAGTTGCTTTATCTTCAGTCTGGCATAGAGGATAGGATCTACAGATACCCTGATTTGGATGGACATTGCCAGTCTAAGAGGAGAAAAGTTTTATTGTACAGTTGCCGTGTTGATCCCCAGGACGACTGTGCACATGCAGTTACCAAAGTAACTCCTCATTCCTACTCAAGAGGAATGCTCTGGCACTGACCAGCTAGCTGGCAAGCAACTGCACTGTTTTTAGCTACAGCCTGGGATCTAAAGGTGGAATAGACCCAAAGACTGAGACTCCCCTTTATTCTTCTTGAGCTGGATATTTTAGTTATGATGAGTGATTATCAAGTTTGGAGTTGCTTTTGACTTCAGCACCATTCTAGGTTTTCCCATTATATTTGCACTGATTTATTTTGAATGGGCCTCATATAGTTAGGTCTCACAGTTGACCATCTACCTTCGGTAATTATTATTCTATGTTTGTTTATCAGATCTTTAAAATAGAAATGTATCTTTTAAAATAGAATATCTTTTAAATAATATCTTAAATAATATCTTTTAAAATAGAAATGTATCAACTGATAATCCTTTTATCAGTTGATTATTTAAATTAAGTTAGGCAAATATTATTCTACCCATTTTGTAGCTGAGAAAACTGAGTGTCTGAGAACT